ACACAATATCAATATTTTTGAAAATGGGAAATTCATGTTAATTTTTGCTTTGTTTATTCATATTTATTTTGATGATATATAGTGATTGTACAAGCACAAACACACTTATTCCCCAGACAAAAGGTGTTTTTAAGTTAAAATAGTGCTTCTAACTCTTATAAAGTCACAAAATGATTTTTCCTGGTTTACTGGTTCCATTGACTTACATTGAAAGTAAATCATGTTTTGTCCTTCTCCTGTAAAGTTACCATTTTGGAGATACGAGGTTTTGTTTCCGATCTTTTGGCTTTTAGGAGCTTCAGTCACGTCTGATCAGGGTTAACAGTGAACAGTGACAGCACAGAGAGTGATGAGAGAGGAGAACAGAATCTTAAACAAATACACAAATAAACATAACTTTCTTTACTCTGAGTTTTAGTCACTGGTTAGTTTTGTGCCTTGTTTCTGTGGTAACAGTACCTGGGAGCAGCCAGAACTTCAGTGGACTCACCTCTGGAGCTGCTGGGGTCAGGAGAGCCGCCGCGCACAGCAGGGTGAGCAGGAGCTTCATGCTGGTTCAGGTGAAGGAGAGGAGATGTTGATCTGCTGAGTTCAGGAGGCGCTTCTGTGAGGATGTGAGGAGCAGAACGCTGAGTAGATCTGACCTCTCTGATGTGGTCAGCAGTATCTGATGCTTGGCTTACACAGCACCGCCCACTTCTGCACAGCCTCAGATCTCTGACATCCACAGCCTGAGCACAGAGAGTCAAGACAACTTTCAGTTTTAAAACAAAAACAAACACAGTGCTAAACAATTTAAAAATAAACACATCAAAATATATATCATAAATATAATAGTAAATAAAATCAAAGCAGGAATTTACCAGACCTGAAAAGGCTGAGGATAGAGATGTGTGTTTAAATTACGCACTAAAAAAGCTCTTCAAGTGTTCTTTAGTAAAGACAATGGTTCTTCAGATTGATGGAGAATGTGTTATATATGGTTCTACATAGTACCAAAAAGGGTTCTGCTATTGTTACATTGTGCATTGTGTGTTGAACAGTAAAATTATAAGGGACTCTTATTGTGACAGCATTGGTGTTAATTTAAAAAATTCAAAAATACTCACCCTGAATTTGTGACCTAAGAGCATAAACACCACAGCAGCTGCTTAAAGATTGTAGTGTCATATTTGGTTTAAGTCTCATCACCAGCGATAAAATGATGTTAAACTTTTATTTTAATTGATTTGATGATAAGTCATGCATATTGTATCTCCATTATCGTTGTTTTACATTTTTAGAGAATTTGAAAATGCCTGTGCATTTTGAAGCTGCGCTTCACTCTGTGAATGGAAGAGAAACACCAGAATGGAATCCTGTTGTTTTAACTCACATTAAAAGTTAAGAATGTTTTCGTGTCTCCTGTGAAGTTGAGACTGTTTCTGTTCCAGCAGTGATGATATAAATGTAAATATGCAAATATGGAAACATATATAAATCTAATTCACTATGGACATAATTAATTATAAAATTATGCTTAAAAACTGTATAAAATGGCGCATATGACATCAAACCGAGGGTTAATGATGGGTTAGTGCCACAATGCACCTTCCTCACTTTGGCGGTTCAATAACTGACACACAGACATAAAGTCAAATCAAGGTCGCCCACAGTAACACAAGAAGAATTAATTGACCTTATTTCCACTCACAGATTCAACAAAAGGCATCATTTGTCCAGGGGCACCTAAACTTTTGCATACGATGGGTCACTGGCCAAATGTACACAGAACACACCTCCTAATAAGACACTTGATCAGATTCAGCTCTTTGAAACTCTTTGTTTTAATGCTTTAAGTTTGTTAGTGAAGTTTGTCTGATCAGTCTCTGAGGTCGTAATTTGCATAATGATTTGCATTGTAAATGGGCTGCTTCACTGACCATCACTGCTGAATAGCCGGATCATTACTCTTAAAGTAACGGACAAGAGCTGCAGGACCTTTAGACCTTCTGAAATTCATGTAAATATTTCAAAGATTTTTCTCTCAAATTAATCATTTTTATAGCTGCCTGTTCATCTGAGCTACTGATGTAAACACAAACATAAACAAGCAGCTGTGATTCGTGAACATTTCAGAGAAAATCAACATGAGCGGAAATGTTCAAACTGACCCCACAGGCAGGGTTAACTACATCAGGCTGAGGGGTGAGTCGCTAAAACAATGCAAACGCGGTCAATTCAGGTCATTTCTGTGCTGCTTGACTGACCGTTGACTGAAATATAGAACTACATGTTTTTGATGAATGTTTGAGTAAAACGTTCCAAGAAATAACAATAAAACATTGTTTACTTTGGTTGGTTGTTGTAGTTCAGGGCTGCTCAAAGTGCAGTAAAGAGTTTTAATGAAGGTTCCAGATGTAACTAAACGTTCTTCTGTGATCTGCACTGTACTTTACATTAACCATGTACGTCTGCAGTCAGACTCTCACACACAATGTATTTCACATAAACAAGATATCAGATCATAACTGCATTTTCACAGAGTATCAATACCCACAACACTCGCTTCTGTCCTGATAAAGGATCATTAGATCAGATTTAAAATGAAGATACTGGAACACAAATTCATTTTTTCACGTTGTCCACATTACTACACGCTTGTTTTTCAGTCAGGGTGCTGGAAGTGTTACGCAGTGTAATGTGATCAATGATGTCATGCAAAATGATTTGCCTTTTTTGTTTTGCTAATTTACATCAAACAGAGCGTGTCACAGTGCTGTAATGATGTGAGAGACACATCGTCTTTGCTTTGATTAATAATAATGACTTTATTTATGATATGAAAATATGACTTTATTTCAGAAATTAAAATGCAGCTCAAAGTGCTCACAATGATGTTAAATAAAACTTCAAAATCACGTGTGTAAAACAGTAAGTAGCAAAATAACCATTTGAAAGAAATGCTTGTTTAGTAAAAATGGTAATAATAAATAATTTAAAAGCAATATGAACAATCAAATATTAAAATATAAAGAAAATAAATATGACAATGAAAATAAAAACAACAAAATTTGAAATAAAAACAGGAGTGTCTTTTCCAGATTTCCAGAGTTTTGGCACATAAAGACAGAACACTGAGTGGGACAATAACAGTAGATCAAACATTATTATCACGTTAGATTATCTTTTAAACTTAAAATCAATATTAGGCTACTTTGCGGTTCAGAACTGGTCTGTAACTCTTCATAGGTCAGGGGTCGCAAACCAAATGTTAAGAAGATTCATTTTGTCCTTCAACAAAAAGCAAACCACTTTGAGGGCCACAACATTGTATGTCCATCTTGGCTGTGAAAGTGTCTCAGTATGTGTTAATGTCCTAGTATAGGCTAAAAATATAATACAAACTAACTTTGCTCTGCTTTAAGCTTTCGCTCAGCTATAGCCGCTTTTTTCGCATCTCCAGCAGGAACTTTTCCACAAAAGTAGAACAGTTTCTTATAAAATGTCTCTCAACATTTCACTTTTTACGAGGCTGAATTCGCTTCTCATTTGACAATTTCTTGTTCGGGTTTTCCGTGCCAGAATGTAACTGTTGCGCAATTTAAGATGGAGCGGGAGAATTCGACTTCAGCCCTGCAACTTTTTAGAGTTTGACAGTTTCTCGTTGCAGATTGGAGTGATTATAAACACAAGTCCATTCATCTCTAAATTATCAATGTTCGTCTTAAATCTCTCTCTTTGCCGTTTCGTTAGCTACAAGCTAGGCGAGACTGTTGTCTGTGTTGCTATGGTGACCAGCAGTCTGCGCTGATCTTCAGGGTTAAAGGGTGAATCAGCAGTTCTACATTAACTCCAGAGTTTAAGACCATTTATTGTTAAACTGTGTTGAACGATCAGCAGAGCTTTATTTTACTGTAAAGGAGGATTATTTTATTTTTACCTACAAATCTGATTCAGCTGTGGAGCCACTACGGGAAAAGAGCCACATGTGGCTCCGGAGCCGCATGTCGCCGACCCCTGGGATAGAATTTCTCTCTTTGCAGCTCAGCCTGCGTGTTTTTTAGGATGGGCCCACAAAACGGCCAGTTTTCAACTCACTGTAATGAAAATACAGTGTTCACTGAAACAGAGAGGCTACTGTAGATTTTTAAAATATAAAAAATACAAACTGCATTCTGTGGCCCAGTCCCATACCACTCAGCCCTCCTTTGTGTGCGTACTCATCTAGGGGAAGGATGTCCTGATTCTTGTTGAGATAGAGGGGTGGGGTGAAGTGTGAGGGCTACATGACCCTCCAACCAGAGTTATGAGAAAAAAAAAAACAAGATGGAGCACAGGAGACCAAAGAGACACACAAATGTGAGAATTTAGTGTATTGTGGTCCTTTTCTTCATAATGAGCATAAAAAATCACTAGTAGTGCTGATATCTCTTTAGCTAGCTAACTTTCCCATTCCACCTTAAATGGTGCAGCAGTTACATTCTGGAGCCTCAGGTGTCAGAACTGCTGCTCCATTTAAGGTGGAACGGGAAAATTTGAACAAGAAGCTGGTGAATATCTGACTTCAGCTTCATATCACTGAAGAATTAGGGGTGGGCGATAATAAATAATTGCCCCCCTCTTTGAAGATCATATGATGCCCTAAATGTAACTAAAGCTCAGCAGTGAGGAGCTGAACTTTACCCTCCTCTGCTGTCACTGCAGACTGGCAGGGTCGCCTACAGAGCAGCGCTGGTAGCTGTTAATGACGTTTATTTGAGGGTTGTTCCATTTCAGGAAAGACCAGGAAAGAATTTCAACCACTACCAAGGAGAAATGGGATTGGACCTAAAACAAGCACTGTGGGTCTCTACTACACTCAAATTCTTAAACAGTTCAGAATGTTTTGTGATTACTATTTTTAAGAGCTGCAATCCTGAATTTAGGTGATGCTGCAGCCCCCTCAGCCCCCCCCACTCCCCGCATCCCTGTCAACATTAGCTAAAAAAAAGCACATTTGTGGGCCAAGCCTGGAGAGGTCACCTCTCTGTGATGACAGTCTCTTCACAGTGATGTTGCTGCTGTGGAGAGAAGAGCACAGAGCAGAAAGCCCATGAGACACCCACCATGGGCCAACTGCACTGCAGGACCACCAGAAGGAGGACTGTTGGTCACTGCACTGATGGTCATTGGTCTGTTGGAGACCTGTGGTCTAGAGGAGCTCAGTGAGTGGACTGTGCAGGTCGAGGTGTTCAGGCTGGTGGACCCTGAAGCTGTGGTGGTGTTTTGAGGCCGCTGAGATGAACTGTTGGAGACGGGGCTGGTGGTAGTGTTGAGGATGGAGCTGCTGGTGCTCTGAGCGTTAGAGAGGCTGGTGTTGGAGATCATCATGGTTGTTGCGCTGGACGCTGAGGCTGTTGTGCTGGATGGTTGCTCATTAACGGTTGTAGAGAATGTAGTGATTGGAGCTCCACTGGTGCGCTAGAGAAGAACAGAACAAAATAAGTAAATATTCCACCTCCATCAGATAAACAGCACTTAAAGCTCTCATCTCTGAGAGAGAGGAGAAAATCAAGCTGATCAGATCTGAAAACATCCACAGGTGTTTCTGTCCATCCTTCTACTGTGAGAAGACGACTCAGCGCTGTGGGTCTGAAAGGATGTGTAGCTGATCAAGAAGAACCTCACTGAGAAAAGGAGACAGACACATCAAACAAAGAAGCTGAACAATGGACTGACCACCCCAGAGTCCAGACCTCAACATCACTGAATGTGTTTGGGATTTGCTTTGACCTCTAAATGATTTTGAAAATAAGAGTTTGAAGATAAGAGTCTTTCATGTGAGTTTATTCTGACAGTCAGTCAGCATTTCTGCAGTGAGTGGATGAAAGTGAAGCCATTCAGGTCACCTGGCAGGGTCAGATTTTACCCCTGATCTGAGACACGTTTCTGCTTTTCACCCCATATGCAATAACTGGCCAATTTATTAGAAACACCCACCTTGTGCTTCTACTAACTGGCCAATTTATTAGAAACACCCACCTTGTGCTTCTACTAACTGGCCACTTTTTAGAAACACTAATTAGCCCCACCCATTTAGCCTACAGCAATTTATCCCTGCCCATTAGGCCCACAGCAGTTTAGCCCCTCCTTTAAGATACAAGAAGTGTTTCAGCTCTGACTGCTTTCTGAATGAGGCACAATACAGGACAGCCAATCAGAACAGAGCTCATTTACATATATATATATATATATATATATATATATATATATATATATATATAGTCTTAAAGACACAGTAATGAAAACAGGCTGTTTAAGGGATAAACAGAGGTTGGAAAAATGAATTAAAAAAGAAGGACACATGAGACGCAGTGTGACCTCACGTCATGTGAACGGCGTTCAGGTGCTCTTTGTTTTATGCTCTTTGTTGTTTAAAGAGCTCAGGGATGTGTATTAAATATTAAAGTAAATACGTCTCCTTTAATGCGTTAATTCTTCTGTTACCTGTAACTGATAGCTTAATTAAACTGAGACCAAACCAAACTAACTTCTGAGAAGTAGACTGACCACAGCTCTGTGTGCTGGCAGGTCATCCCCTGGTCAGGCTGTCAGACAGGCAGATTTTGAGTGACTCTAGGTTTGCATATCCTGGAATTGACTGAGGACAGAGTTACATAATTGTTCCCTCTCGGTTCTCTTTAACTCCACCTGCCTTCCAGTCCGTTCTCTGCGTTCTGTCTGTTGGGAAAGTCTCAGCCTCACATTAACACCCCCCCCTCCCCGCACACATACATCAACACATACACACTCATCCTACACACACACAGCACACCTGACTGTATTTACACCTTCACACTGTCTTCTGCTTTCAAGCAACTCCCAGCAGAGACGTGATCACAGTTTAAATGTAAACAAAGTCATTCAGGTCACCATGACTACAACACAAATATAGACATTTTATTTACTGTCCAGAACCACCAGTGAACCTACACGAGTCTTCTGAGTTTATATGGAATGTTGATGATGGAAAATAGTGGAAAATCTGAAATAATACGTTTTCTTTGTTTTTTAGGCAATTTATCACAAAACCCCAAATGTAAAATTTGAAGAGTTGAATAATGGATAAAGAACTGTGTTAGTACTGCACTGAAATCTTAAAAAGCAGCATAAACACACACACCCACACACACACACACACGCATGCACACACACACACACACACACCCACACACACACGCATGCACACACACACACACACACACACACACACACACACATATTTAAACTGTTAACTGTTTGGATAAACAGTTTTTGACATTTTTTTTTCTCCAAACTTTTGGAACCTTTGCAAAACACCAGCTGTGCTTTGTGTAAACATTTTATAACAAATGGACCAACAGAAATGTTTTAAAATTAAATATCGCTACATTAACCTGCAGTAAAGCTTTTTCTCTCTTCTTTGTGATGTTACTGTTTCAGTGACACAAGGTTTTCCAATGACACTGATGAACAGAGCTGGGCTTTGTAAGCGTTCTTCAGCAGAGATTCGGCTCAGTCTCACAGCGTCTCAGAGCAGACATGAGAAAACAGCACTGTTAACCTAAACCCCCCCATCAGCCCCAGGGCAGGGGCGCCAACACTTACACACACTGAGACGCCAGTGGCAGTTATCATCATTGTTGTCAATGGTGACAATTCAGTGAGCAAAAGCTACTCATAAAGCAAAGGATTCTGCGTTAAACACAGATGTAGTGTGATGTTATTGTTTGTTTAGGACAGCTGTTTCAGTGGTCTATGGTTGCCCAGCAACAACAGCCTACACAAAACAAATTACCTTTGGGGGGAAGAATTATTTATTTCAATATGATAAGTCTAAGTTGAATATTTTATTGAAAATGACATGATATTTTATGTTGTTGACATTTCTAAAAGTATTGAGACGCTTGAGGCTGTACATTACAGTGATTTACCATGTTTAGTGTGTTTATTCCACACATTGAGATAAAGTCACTGTAGTGTTCTGCTATTGCTATGATGTCAAGCCTGTTACTGCTTATACAGCACACTCTCCCCGTCTGAAGAACCATTTCACCATGCAAAGAATCATCATGCAAAAGGTTTGAGTGTTCACTGTAGAACCATTTTCTGTACTAAAGAACCCTTGAAGAACCATACTTTTTTAAGTGTGCAAGGCTTATTGCTTTATTATATTATATTATATTATATTATATTATATTCATTTTTTTTCACCACTTACAGGAAAAGATACATGAATTTCACATTTTAGGAAAAAAATACCTGTTGTCGTAAGAAAACCTCGTATCTCAAAAATAGTAACTTTACAGGAAAAGGAAAAAACCCACTTTACTTTTAATGTAAGTCAATGGAACCAGACTTTTTCCCAGTCATTTTGGGTCGTTTCTTTTGGTCCATTCACCATGAAATTACATGCTTTACATACAATGTAAAGAATATCAGGCATTTTCAAATTATGTCAAAAACTGAAAAATATATATATATATGTGTGTGTGTGTGTGTGTGTGTGTGTGTATAGTATGCAGTACTTACTTCTACTAATAATCAAATAATAATCAAATTTATAGAACATAGAATGTGTTTTACTGGGACATTGAAAACAAGCTCTATAGAGAGGAATGAGACTGTAAATGCAGTGAAACACAGAGGCAGAAAGTAAAACTGACTAACGACACTCATCACTCACCTCACCCAGCAGCAGCAGCAGCAGCAGCCAGACTGAGAGGACAGTGCAGCGTCTCATCATTCCTCCACAGCACCGACGGGACCAGCT